GCGATGCGTCCGCGTGGACAGCTGCTATACAATAATACATTTCCATTTACCTCCTTCTCTATATCCATACAAAATATCTATCAAACAAATAAAATTAAAATTTTCTTTTGAAAAATGAAACCATCCCATCAGTATTTTCTTATGACGTTGTCACGTTCAACTATCGTCAGTAAACCGACTTTCCAGACAACCGATTTTTTCTGTTAGACAACGTAATTCACAAGTAATTAATTTCAAGAACTGGCGTCCAACATGGCGCATTTGTTTTGTAAAACTTTTTAAGTATCATATCGTCATTTCGGGAATGGTCATTTCGGGAACAATTTCGAAAAATGATGAGCGTTCCCGGAATGATAATTGCATTCCCAAAATAGTTGTTCAGTTCTCTACTGAACTATTTAACGATTCTAAGGCTAAAACTTTTATTTTTGTGCCTGTCTTGTGTAAAAAAATATGCTATTTTTTATTGTATAAAATCGTCAAAAAATATTGGGAATCATTTAAATAAAACTTTTGGAAATATTATTGTAGAATTAACTTCGAGAAAATACAACACGTAACTATATGATACACATTTCTGGATGTATCTTTAGTTATTCATTGCATAAAAGCAAAAAAAATTAAGTCACCTATTAAATTTTAATACAAAGGTCAAAGGTTAAAAAACCACCTAAAATAAAAATAGCAATTCTGTAACAAAAAAAACTGACAATAGGCTAATAGGACAGACAATCTGAATATTACGTATGTATGTAAGCATGAAACAATAACGAGCAAAACTTATTCTTTAAGATACGTATAAATTTATTTATTTATTTATTTAAATAGTATTTGGACCAAAACAACACAGAACCCCCGCATGCGTAGCTTAGGGACGAAAACACTGCCCTTAGTTTAGTAGTTTCCTGTAGTTGTTGACTCACCAAAGAAAAAATAGAATCAGTGGACAATATGGCCACATCGACAGGACTCGTGTGGTTTGCCACGCATATACCACCTTTCGTAGGCCGAAAGTTTTTATTATGAAACGTAATTACAGAAGAGAGAGAACGCGATAATATACGAAAGGCCGATATGTAACACCAACCTATCAGCCATCTCCTGTATTTGGCGTTTGGCAAAAAGTTCACAAAAAATGTGCTCGTTATTAACCATAAAATCTAATAAAAATGTCACTTTCAGAAACAAAAAATAAACAAAAAAGGAACAGTAGAAGTTTCTTCGTATGGATAATACAATTATTTCGTTTAATTGTTTATCCCTATTCAACGCATGTCCTCGCTTTCAGTAAGCTGCAATAAATTGTAATTTATATTCTGTTCTTCATAATATAATTGTCTGTTTTTGGGTTGCCACCATATAAATAAGTAATTATGTTCGTTTGCCAATAGAAAATTTATTATAATATTCGTCACCCAAGCATGCTTTCTTTGAATTAATTTTCCAGTCAAATGTTTTTAGGACGATAATTAGCAGCTGTCAATTATTTTAAGTTAGAAAAAGTTCCAACATATTTAAAACTAACACAAATTTAAAAATAATTATAATACATTGTAGAGGCAAGGGTCTCGATTAGTATGTTCACCTCCGGGGATTCGTAATTGNTTCTGTGACTCCTTGACAACGCTGTTATGGTAGGTAGCTAACATATACAAAAAATGAATAAAATAATTATTTTATAACTCTTCGTAAAGTTGAGACAATATTATTAAATGTAGCAATTTATGTCTGTCATCAAAACTGGAATTAAGCAAAAATTATCCATGATGTCATACCTTGCGCAATGTTACATAATGGTAACTTTTTTTACATAGTCAACGCATTTATGAAATTATACAGCTACCACTAGAATTATCGCAAAAAAATCAATGAAACTCAACAAAAACAAAAAGTTCGATTATATGAAACACATACATACCCATTGCCGACATATTTAACATTCAAGCACAAACATGCTTTTCTATTAAATATTTCGTCGACAACGTTATGCATAAGTAATCAAAACTTTCTTCCATGTTTACGGAGAATAACACAATAAATTTACCTTTTACTTCAAATATCGCAACACGACAAATAATGTGAAAAGTTCAGTAAAAGCTTTCAGAAACACTACACGTTTTTACACAGAAACCATGAAAAAATTGTTTCATCTGGATCGTCTTTTACTAGTCTCTAGCAAAATAGACAAAAACACGCATAAATGGATGTGATATTCGATAGCGAACGGCAAAGTGCCATTTCTGTGCAATTCTATAGCTCGTTATGGCACGAACACACGACTATTAACGAATCATTCCTACGCCAACTTTACGAATATTGTAGGAGCAATAAATTCACAACCAGATAAAGATCCAATATAATATATAATAAAAAGTTTTNCAGGACTCGTGTGGTTTGCCACGCATATACCACCTTTCGTAGGCCGAAAGTTTTTATTATGAAACGTAATTACAGAAGAGAGAGAACGCGATAATATACGAAAGGCCGATATGTAACACCAACCTATCAGCCATCTCCTGTATTTGGCGTTTGGCAAAAAGTTCACAAAAAATGTGCTCGTTATTAACCATAAAATCTAATAAAAATGTCACTTTCAGAAACAAAAAATAAACAAAAAAGGAACAGTAGAAGTTTCTTCGTATGGATAATACAATTATTTCGTTTAATTGTTTATCCCTATTCAACGCATGTCCTCGCTTTCAGTAAGCTGCAATAAATTGTAATTTATATTCTGTTCTTCATAATATAATTGTCTGTTTTTGGGTTGCCACCATATAAATAAGTAATTATGTTCGTTTGCCAATAGAAAATTTATTATAATATTCGTCACCCAAGCATGCTTTCTTTGAATTAATTTTCCAGTCAAATGTTTTTAGGACGATAATTAGCAGCTGTCAATTATTTTAAGTTAGAAAAAGTTCCAACATATTTAAAACTAACACAAATTTAAAAATAATTATAATACATTGTAGAGGCAAGGGTCTCGATTAGTATGTTCACCTCCGGGGATTCGTAATTGTAATTTATATTGCATTCTTCATAATATAATTGTGTTTTTTGGTTGCCACCATATAAATAAATAATTAGGTCCGTTTGCCAATAGAAAATGTATTATAATATTCATCATCAAAGCATGCTTTCTTTAAAGGGAGTTGATCAATTTTCCAGCCAAATGTTTTTAGGACGGTAAATGGCAGCTGTCAATTATTTTCGGTTAGGTTAGGTTATAGCTATAGATAAATAGCAGCTGTCAATTATTTTAGGTTAGAAAAAGTTCCAATATATTTAAAACTAACACAAATTTAAAAATTATAATAATAAATTGAAAAGGCAAAGGTTTCGATACGTGTTTTCACCTCCGAGGATTCGTAACCTTCTCAACCTAAGCAATCACACAAAGCCTAACCTAACCGAACATTCTGCAAAGCGAATGATATTTTACATTAAATATCTTTTTCACAGATTATGTTTAATGTCCGCAGTCATTTCAATATGAAAATAGTCCAACCTTTAAAAGCTCGATTACTATTGACATAAGAGTAGTTCCTTCTTTTGGTTTTCGCAAAGAAACTTCTACTGCAGAAATGAATGAAATGCATATTATAACAATTAAAGGGTTTTCCATGAATTACGTTGAAAATGATTTTTCATCCGCCTCTCGCTCCGTAAGGAGACCGTAAAGCCTGACCTGACTCATTTCTTCCCTTATTTCGATATGTAACGCGCACATTGTAAGCTTTAGATTTGAAATCAGGGAATTTGTCACAATTTCTTATCAACATTAAAGTGCGATGTAACATTAATAAACAACGCAAATATGTTTATAGCACATTATATCACTCATGGTAGCAAACAGAATTATTCTATCAATGATATAGGGTTGTTCGGAAAGTCATTTCGTTTTTTTTTGTGGAAATGAAAGACAGTTTTCGTATAATAAACAAATACTTTATTAAATTATACATTGACCGTTCTGGTCCAACACCTTTTGCCATCTTTCTGGTAGTAGCANAGTTTCGCTGCATGAAGTGCTTGTTTGATGCTTGGTGAAGGGACAGGATCGTCTTCTTCAACAACGTACACAGCTGCAGTTCTTATCTATTTCGGCAACTTACAAAGTACTGCTTAATGATTTATAATGCCGCATTGTTGTCGTTAAAAAGAGTGAGCGTGACGCTATATAGAGTGTAAGCAACTTCGACGTTTTAAGGAGTTTGTCGTTAAATCGAGTGAGTTTACACTGTATTTGTATTTCATTAAGAATGTTTCAAATCCCAAATTCCAAACTCGAACATCGTTATAAACAATATCTGTTATGTTATCAATAAATAATTTTCGTGCGCCACCTACCTTCTAGCAACAGCATGTCGATCCCTGACCTCCGACCTCTCAAACCATATATGGGGAGAAGCCCTTGCAAGAGCTCTCTGGAATATTCCCAGAAAACCCCCATGTCTTTGCCCAATCTAAAAATTTCAGCAGAACCTGTCTTTACTGCAATTATTTCTTCTTTATCATTTATAACACCCACACCACACTTATTAAAAAAAAAAAAACAACAGGACCCGCAACCAAAAACAAACTTAAGCAAGAAAAACCTCAGAAATAACAAATAACAAAAAAAATTAAAGTTAAATTCCCAATATCAGGCAATAACACTTTGTAGTATATGAACAAAAACTAATTTAGTAAAAAAAAAAATATTCGAATCGAAGAACTGGTCTGATTAAAATACCAAGTAGATCACAAAAGATACCTCTCCACCTAACAAAAAAGCGCTGATTTTTAAAGAAGAATTTGAACTGAACACATTTAAGAAATATTGAAATTCTGATCAGGTAATAATGAAATATTATTGATACATCTGATAAGATCAATAAAAATCCTTCTCGAATCTTTCTAATAAGTAGAGAACAGACGTCGCTCATACATGACGCCATTTATTATGAGGGGTGTACTTAGGACACCAAGCTGCAAATTGTGAATACTGAGGTGCAAACGCGTGTCACAAGTACCAAGAAAGCACTTTCCAGCGCTTTCCCGTATGGAGCCGCATCCGTTATTATTTTCACCAAATAAAATTTTGACCGTCCAGTAGGCCTAAGTATGGACCTTATACATGCGAACGACGTCCACTCCTTACTGATAAGGAGTCACATTTGATACAGCTAAAAATATGGTTACTTCAAATTGAAATAGACTGTGTGCAGATAAATATTTTGTGGAATTATTGGGGGAAGATCAATTTGGGTTCAGAAGAAGTGGAGGAACTCGGGAGGTCATTCTAGCTTAAGCGGTAGCAATAGAGAAAACGATAGAAAAAAGAAAGAGTGCGTACGTAGGATTTGTAGATTTAGAAAAAGTTTTTGACAACGTTAAATGAGACAAAATGTTATATACACTTAAAAATGTAGGGATGAGTTACAAAGATAGAAGAGTGATACTTGGTTTGTATAAAAAGCACCAAGCAGTTATAGAGCTGGAGATGCAATGTACAGAAGTAAATATTAGGAAGAGAATTGGTTATGAAAATAAATAAAAGTAAAACAAAAATACTGGTAGCAAGGGAAGGAAAAGAAGGGAAACAGCGAATATAAAGATAGGGGACAAAAGATTAGAAGAAGTGGCTGATTATATTAGAAATTCGAAAAAGATTGTTAAAGGAGTATATTTGGAGCGCGGCGCTGTACGGGTGCGAAATAGGGAAAACAAAAGGTTAGAAACGTTCAAAATTTGGTGTTACCAGCGAATGATGAGGATACCGTCGATATATAAGGTTAGAAATGAAGAGGTATTAGAAAGAATAGGAGAACAAACGACTCCATGGAAGCAAAAATAAAAAATACGTCGGTAGGACACCTTCTCAGACATGAAGGGCTGGTTAGACATTAGAAGCAGAAAAAGGAGTTAGAAGGAGTAGAGGTAGAACTAGATAGATTACTGTTCGCAAATAGTAATGGATGTGGGATGTTCTAGTTTTGGGGAAATGCGAAGATTAGCTCAGGATAGGAAAGGGTGGAGGTGCGTGTCCAAGTCTTAGGACTGACGACCTTATGATAATGAAGAAATTATAAAACTGCAAGCTGGCTTTTAAAAAATTGTGCCTGAGTAAAAGTAAAAGTGAAACAGGAGGAAGTAAAAGTAGCACAGTGTATTCAAAATATACAATACATTAATTCTTCACGACTTTTCAGAAAAATTATTTATTTAAAAAAATGATTAATTGATTGAAAAATAAACGGTATACATTTGTCTTAAATTTGAATAACAAGCATTTAATCTACAGTTGATAATACCGTAACAGACATTGATAAGACTTTTTAGATAAAATTGAAAATATATGTACATATCTTTAAACTAGTGGATACCTACCTATTAATCCTATAAATAAAATAAATAAAACTGTTCTGTTTAAAATACATTATTATTAACAAAAATTTATGTAAAATGGTAT